TTTGATAGGGATGAAGCAACAATTTGATAGAGATGAAGCGAGGCAACAGCATGATAGGGATGAAGCAACAAAAGCGACAGCAACAACAACAACAATAACAACGACAACAACAACAACTACAACTACAGCAGCTACAACAACAACAGTAATAACAGCAACAAGAAGAAGAATATATCTAATGGGATAAGGTAAGGTATCGCGAGATGAGATTAACATAGCAGATGAATAGAAGTCAAATGAGTAGAGGCAAGAAAAGAATATGAGAAAAAGAGATGAAAGGAAATGAGAAGAAGAATATGTCAAATGGGATAGGGTAAGGTATGGAGCGGTATGAGATAAAATATGCGGAAGTGTGGAACGACGAGATGGAATAAAGTGGAATGAGTATGGAGGTGAGATAAAATGAAGAATTGTCGAGGTGAGAAAAGGTAGGGTGGAATGTGGTCAGGTAGTCTCAGATTAGTTGAAATGCGTTTAGATAAAATGCAAACAAAATTAGAGGTGGTATAGGTATCTTATCTTATCTTATCTCTACTTTATTAATTAAATTAGTTGACTCGAGATGAGATGAGATGTCATAGTTGTATCAGGGTGACTCGAAGACCGATGAAATGAGACAAGGGTAAAGAAGGTGGATTAGTTTTGAAAAATTATTTTACAGTACTTCAAAGACAAATTATAAGTTAGTTTAGTGCCGGAGACCAGAGGTATTACTAGAGAGTATTAAGACGATAGATCTTTGTTAGGAAAAGAGCCAACACATTTGAACCGCCCACGAGATGGAATGAAAGAATAATAAAAGAATAGAAGAGAGGTGAGATGAAATGATTGGGAATAACACTGACTAGAGTAAAGTTGTAGGTGATGTCTAATTTTATGACAAGTGTATGCTATGATTAGATAACACTGAAGGTTGAGATTGTATCATGTAAATAGGATGTTATTTGATCCTTCTTTTGTATCAAACATTATATGGTCCTTATCTCTCCTCCTTATATTTGTACATTACGATCTACTAACACCACTAACCTTCGGGACTTACGTGACTTAAATGTGCAGCAAATGCCGTATAAAACTCTTACTAAAGAAAACGAAAACAATCATTTCCCTTCCACCTTACCTTGGGCGGGGCTGTAAGACTCTGCTGACTGCAGTCTGCCACTCCATTGGAGCAGGAGCGGCAGCGGGCGGGGCATGGCACTTGGGCGTGGCTCACGGGGGCGTGGCTTGCTAGGAACAACAGGAGCGCTGATTGGACGAGGGCGCCGATCGTGGGCGTGGCGACCATCGTGTGTTGCGTCACGGGGAGTGTTTAGCCTGGGGAAGAAGTGGGTGGGTTAATTTAGCTTGAGGTGGGCGGGGGAGGTGGACTTGGAGATGAAAGGGGGAAGGGGTCGTGTATAGAGAGCTTGACTGACCCTCACTATGTCCTTTTTTTCTGTAACAATTAAGTCGAAAAGGGATGTTTTGTTATCTCTCCTTTACTCAGTATGTTTTGCTTTGGTGCCCCCCCC